TCTTCATTCAGTTCGGTTTGGTCAGTACCGGCGGCGGATCCGGCAGCAGATGCAACAGCTATCCAATCTTCGTCCGCGGACCCAGCGATTGGCGCCGCGTCTGCGGGTGACCCCGCTTCTCCGCTGGATTCTGCGGGTGACCCCGCCTCTTTATGGAATCGGCGGTTCCATTCCTTGAGGCGATGGTCATTGGGAAGCTGTTTCCAATTTTCCCTGACGGCGTTGGCAACCTCCTCGGTCATAGGGACGCGATCGGCTTCAGTGATGCGCTTTCCTCCTCCAGGGACCTCCTTGTTAGGATCATGGACGTTGCCAGCGTCATCTCCATGAGACCAATTCCACGGGGTCTCACCGTGATGAGGGCTCCTGGAGGGGCGGTCCATTGGACAGCTGCGCATGTGACCTTTGAAGGGCTCGCATTGACATACTTGTTTCCTGTATGTCTTGCGATCGTTGATGATCTCCTGTTTCTTAGCCCTTTTGTCCCAAGCCTCTGGCGTTTTAGTCTTGCCACCCTTGGTGCGTATTATCATGCCAGATTCGTCCCTTTTGGTGCAGTACTCCTTAGAATACCAGTGGCGGATCACGTCCATCGAGTAGCCGGGGTACCAATTGATGTACCACTCCGGCACGTACTGAGCGGATACACCTACGGAGTGCTCCGTACTGTACGGGTAGCCCGATGCATCATGTGTAGGGCGTCGTGGAGCTGAACGGCTCCTCCTGCGGGCTGGCCCCGCTGACGCACTGCCACGTTCCATGGGCCTTTGATCTTCATGCTCTGAGTCTCGGGGAGGCGATGGCCGTCTGTCCCTCTTGGCATGGCGCATGTCCTCCGAGTCCTCTGAGCTGTCCTGGACCATGAATACGTGCTGATACGGGCTTCGGAAGTACCCGATGTCGTTTAGCTGCTCCATCGTGAGGTCGTTGAGGTCCATCTGGTCGCAGCCCTGCATGAATACATCCATAGACCAAGCGGGTGGCCCCGCGGCTGCGGCTGGCGTCACTTCGGCGGGTGACCCCGCTAGAGCCTGGAGTGCTGTCAGCATCTGAGGTGCCGACATGTCCGAATCCAGGTATGGACGCAGCCTTGCGGCCCCTGGGCGCGACAGCAGGTCGTTCATGGTTATCTGCTGATGTGCTGGCGCACTCAGGAGCTGGATTGCTTCTGCGACCTGCTCTTGGAGCATGTCCTTATAGTCCTCTTCGGCCTCTTCAGAGTCAGAATACGCGGGATGGCCCCGCATTTCGTCATCAGCGTCTCCCGCTTCCGAACCAGCTCGCGGAAGATCTGGCAGCAACGGCGTGCCAATCACCTGCGGTGCCAGCGCGGCGGCGAGCTCCTCCTCGGTCGCCGGGATGGTCTCAGCGTCGGAGATCTCGTCGTCGGCGGGTGGCCCCGCTGGAAGACCGAACCAGGCATTGAACGCGACCTCGTCGGCTTCGTCCCAGCCGTGGAACTCGTCGAAGAGGGTCACCGCGTACTCTTCCAGGACTACGGTCACTTCAGCGTAGCGGGCCATCACGTAATACGTGGAGGAGCCCGCGGCGGGAGCCGCTTCTGGATTGACGTAAAACTCGTAGTCAATGTAGTCTATGTCATCCATAAAAGAGTTTTGAGCCAAATGTACGGATCCCTTTCCTTTCCCTTTCGGGCATTGATCGCGCAAATGCTCTGTACTACCGCATGTATGACACTTCATAGTATTGCCAGAAGCGTCCCTAGGGTTGCCCCTCCGCCCTTTTCCCTTACCAGAGGTCCGCCTGTGACCCCGACCTTTGCCTCCGATAAGAACTTCTTCAAAAACTATATCAGTTAAGGACGTGAGGAAAGCAGTAATACCCCTACCATGCATACGGCGTCTGCGACCCCCTTTGCCACGACCCTTTCCATATCGTTTGAAATGTCGGCGTACTGCACGTCTCACTTTTCTGACTGGTTTCTTCATAAAGCGCCTCCAACGGCGTTTTGATTTGCGATAAGCCATAAAAGCGGCTTCCGCTCTTTGTTGTTCAGAAAGGTGAGTGTCATCCGCTGGGTAGTCATTACCAGCAGAGACTATGCCATTGTGCTCATCGTCAGATGAGGTATCTGTGTCAGTGCCAGATTCAAACGGTGAGGGTGGCTGAGACCCTTGAGCGGATGACTCCGCTTGGCCCCAGAGGGTTGTGCCCGAGGGCGGGCTTGCAGTGTAGGCGGCGCCTGGCGAGTGGTTCGACCAGGCGTTCGCCTCAGCTGCCTCTGCCGATAAGTGGCCGGTCTGACCTAAGAAGGCAGTGGCCTCGTTGGGCATATCGGCTGGGTCAGCCCAGGGACTTGGCTCGCCAGGACCAGCGGGTGGCCCCGCAGTCGTGGCGTAGACACCTGCATGTGAGTGGTGCCCTGTGAAGATACCCGCAATGTTGCCAGGAGAGCGCTCGGCAACATGTCCGTAGTTCCTCATCCTGGTCAGCAGCCTGTCATAGTCTGCTTGTGTTCTGGGCATCTGATGATTAAAGGGCTCCAGCAGGTGTTGGGCTCGTGACGCGCCAACGCCTAACGCTCTGAAAAGGATCAGCGTTAGGATCTGAAAGTTGGGGATGACAAAGCCAACAGAGTTAGCCTCGTCACGGGCCATCTCGAATCGAGCTAACACTGAGTCGATTCGCTCGCCCCTTTCGACGCGAAAGTCGATAAGGGCAGTGCCAGAGTTGAGCTGGCGCTCATCTTCCAGATTTTCAAATTTGGTGCTCAATAGGTACAGTATATAAGTAACTGCATCCGTTGGCTGTCCGTTGACAGTTACACCATAGTTGATGATCTGGGAGGGGACCTGCATGGCGATACGACGAGCAAGACCTTGAAGGCCTCGCTGTAGTGCTGCAGCTTGTTGAGGTGGCGTCATATTGCCGCTCGTTACGTTTATCCATGCATGTACTTCGCGAACGTATTCGCGAAAAGGCGTAGTACCGGCAGGGTCCCACGAAGGGCCGGTAGTACGCGTGTCGTCCATCCCCTGCCGCATGTATCCCACAGCACATCCCATTATTACCCACAGAATGCCGAAGATAGTTATCTTAATCCAGTGCATGTGCATTTCGGCTTCGGTGATTGGTTTAGGCTGTGGTTTGTCAGGCTCTGGCGTAGTAGCCGTGAGGCGCCTGACTGGCACGGGATGCAGGTGGCCCCGCTGCGGGTAGCCCCGCAGGGTGACCACGTTCTCGATCGAGTTGCCGATTGGCATCTGGTGGAAGTCGGGAGTGAAGTAGCGCAGTGAAGTAGGAGAGAGCGTCTCGAGTTCGCGGGTTGCCCCGCTAGCTCGATCGCGGACTGGCTCCGCTCCTCGCAGAGCCGGCGCAACATGGTATTCCACCGTAGTAGTAGTCCACCAAGTTGTGCCGTGGATTACAGGAATCAGAGCGAGAGCCAGCCACACGAGAGTGTAGCCAGCTCCGCTACCAAGTCGAAAACGCACTGGTAAGCTTAGGTATGTGTTACGCTTCAAGCGCTGCCATATCCCAGGCTTTGGCTCATATCGCATGAGCAAGAGAGCGAGACGAAGCATGGGATCTGGAGTAAAGGATAGAAGGGGCATCTTCAATGGAAAAGGTATTTTCCGATCTCAGATACAAGTCGTGCGCCTCGGTGAGGCACAGTCATATATTTGGCCGGGCCCGGCTTGAGCCAGGCACGGCAGCGGTGCATGCTCGATATACATCTCGCCTTTAACCTTCTCCGTTTAAAGTCCCCCCCCCCCCCCCCCCACTCACCTGGACAGGAGGGGCGGGGAGCGGTCAGAGCGTCCAAAACGGCCTCGGCGAGGAAGCCAAAATCATTGATGTTACTATTGTTTGGGCCCCATTTTGGCCTTCTCAGGGGGCAACGCTAATTAAGGCTCCCCTCTTCTTTGATCGATTTCCTCCACGATGGCCGCAAGAGGCCCCCAGGATGCCCCAAGAGGCCGCAGGATGGCCCCAAGATGGCCCCAAGAGGCCCCCAGGAGGCCCCCAAGAGACCCCCAAGAGGCCTCAAGATGGCCCCAAGAGGCCCCAAGAGGCCCCCAGGAGGCCCCAAAGAGGATCCCGAACGGCCCACAGAGGCCCCCCCGAGGCACCCAAGACGCCGAAAAGCCCCTCAGGACGACCCTCTACTCTCGTGGGCGTCGTTTCTGGACGGGTTGGTGGGGATACGCGAAGGGTCTAGAATCCCACCAGCCCTCTGGGCGTCGGTGGTTTAGAGCGTTTCCTCTTCCACCCCTCCCTCTTCCCCTTCGGGGAGGGTTTTACCCCTCCCCCTGCCCCCTCCCCACTGACCTGGACAGGAGGGGCGGGAAACGGTCAGAACGCCCAAAACGGCCTCGGCGAGGAAGCCGAAATCATTGATTGTACTATGGTTTTGGCCCCATTTTGGCCTTCTCAGGGGGCAACGCAAATTAAGGCCCCCCTCTTCTTTGATCGATTTCCTCCACGACGGCCATGCCCCAAGAGGCCGCAGGATGGCCCCAAGATGGCCCCAAGAGGCCCCCCAAGAGGCCCCCAGGAGGCCCCCAAGAGACCCCAAGAGGCCCCAAGATGGCCCCAAGAGGCCCCAAGAGGCCCCCAGGAGGCCCCAAAGAGGATCCCGAACGGCCCACAGAGGCCCCCCCGAGGCACCCAAGACGCCGAAAAGCCCCTCAGGACGACCCTCTACTCGCCTGGGCGTCGTTTCTGGACGGGCTGGTGGGGATGTTTTTTTTTTTTTTTTTTTTTTTTTTTACAACCGCAGGCGGAAGCGCCGGCGGCGAGCAGTCACGGTCGGGCTGCGGCCGCGACTAAATTCCCGGGCGCGCGCGGGGCCGCGGATCAGGAGGCAAAGCAGCGGCAACCCAGGGCGTCTGAGAGGCCAGGCGATCGTGCAATCCCAGGGAGTCTGAAAGGTCAGTCACCTGAGACGGTCGTGCAAGCTGCAACCCAGGGAGTCTGAGAGGTCAGCCCTCCGGGCGAGCCAGGCGCAGCCAAAATGGCGCGCAGTTCGTCCCAGGCCGCGATCGTGTCGAGACAACCGCGAGGTAGGGAACGATCTTCGTGCGGGAAAGTCAATCCAGGGAGTCTGACGGGTATGAGCAGACAGAGACTGGTGACGTCGTCCAGCAGGAGAAGGATTCTGACAGCGCCAGCGAACCGTCGCAGCATCAGAAAACGCATCCTCGCAAGGGGAAGCCTAAGACAGAGCAGGCAAAGGCGAGACCCGACCACTGCTGAGCGATGCGCCTGCGTTCAGAGGACCAGCGATCTAGTCTGGACGCAGCAGGGGTACGCGGGTAACCACTCTGCGAGAACGCGAGGTCGCTCGGGAATGGACGTGCACCGAACAACTATGTGACGTAGCGCCAGGCGGCTCACACAACCATGTGGGGAGGCGCTCGGAAGGACAACAACCGTCGTATACCCAAGACAACAAGTCCCTCACAGTCACAGAGTCCCAGGGAGATCCGCACACCTGAATGCGCGGGAGAGCAACGAGGAAGGACCGGATGACCGTCATACTCCGAAACCGTGCAGCAGCCAGGGTAGTGTCGCATGGCATCGGTGGGCGGCGCTGGTCGGGTGAGGTCGTCGGCCCAGTCGGAGGGGCGGCGGAACAGGTGAACCTTCCGCCCTTCGGCGTAACGACCCGCGGCGATGGACCGCCCGCCCATCCGTGTCACGCGTTGCTCCCAGGAGAACGGGGTAGGCACGGCTGAAGGCCGTAGTAACTTGGAGATCCCAAGGTTTTTTTTGTTCAGCGGGTTTAGCCAGCGCCGCAACTCCAACAGCTCGGCCCTGATTCTCCACGAGGCTGGTTTGCTCCGTCTCGACCCTCACGACCATGAGAACCGAAGCCTGCGTGACCTTCACCTGGTGGCGACTGGTCGTCGAGGGGCCGCCCGCGCACGCTCTCGTCCGCGGCCGCCGCCGGCGTCCTCGTCGAGAGGGCGGCCGTGGCTGCTGCCAACACAGGCCACCCCAGCGCAGCGAGGCAGCAGCCGACGGTGAGGGCTGTCCAGGGGCACGAGCTCGCCCACGGAGACCACGTGCAGCCCGCAACAGGAAGCTGCCATCATTGGCACCATCCGCTCGAGCCCAGCACGTCAACAGAAACCACGTCCAGCCCATACACAGCAACCGCCATCGTTGGCATCAATCGCTCGAGCGCGTGCGACGTTTGGGCCGTCGTCAAGGTCTTGTACCCTGACGGCATCGACTCGATCAACTTCTCCGCAGAATGCAAAATGATCTGGTACATCACAGCGTCCGGGCGGACCCAGTAGAACGATCCTGCAATGATGCGCACCACTCTCATCGGGATGTCGAAAGGCACGCAGGGCTGCATCATCTTCCACGTCCTCTTCATTGCGTCGATATCCTTATGACCCCAGACCGTAAACCGGTTGGTTCTCTGAGGATACTGTAAAACCTGCGCTGATGCGCCAACCATGCCCAGCGACTTGGACCTCTTAAATTGACTGTACACGTGTCGTACTTTCTCTACGTCCCCGCATAGGTCTCTGAGCCAGCTGCGTCTCTGTCGGCCGTTGCTCTTGCTGTGAACCTTCAGGAACGTGTCAAAGGCCTCGGGGCCCCTCAGACGCTGCGAGCGCACGAACGGGGGCACGTTCAGAACCTCCACAGCCCGTGGGCTCTGCCCCCTCAGGACCTGCAGCTGGCGGAGGTAGGGTCCGATGTCGGCCCCCCGGTTCTCCACCCTGATGCTCCTGACAGCTCCACTTTCGAACGCGCGACGGGCATCCAACTCGAACCCTCTCATTTCCTTTGAACTAAGATTCTCCTGGAAGGCAAGGAACACAGAGAAGCCATGCCCCTCGGTCTTCATAGCCAGCGACATCTTTGACATGCAATGCTTCAGATCTGCCCATCTGTCCATGCTCGCGTTGCCAATCTGCGCAAGCACGGTCACCCCAGGAGGTCTCTGGCGCGAAGGCTCGGTGGTTGGAGCACACGCCAGCTTGTAGGTAATCTCGAGCGACCTCATCCTGAACCGCTCGGGGGGGGCATAGAGCTCCCTCAGTGCATAGACAGTTGTGTTGCCGCTTGCGCACTGATACTGGACCTCTTGCTTCACACTGATCTTCAACCCACTCTCGTCGCACAGCGTGGCGTCCACCACCTCGGCGCCGGAGGGAAGCACGACAGAGCTGTTCTCCTCCAAGACCACGGCGACACGGAAGGCCGCTCCGTCGCTGCCGCCACGACTGGCTGGCCTACCGGCCGCGACATCGTCTTGCTTCACGCGGTTGTTCACAATTATTTCCTGTTTCACCCTGACGTTCAACCCACTCCCGTCGCGCTGCCTGGCATCCACCTCCTCGACCCCAAAAAGGGCGCCAAGGCCACTTCTCCCCCGAGGCGCCGCCAGCCGCGGCAGCGGCCGCGCTGGCACCGGCCCCCAGCCGCGGCAGCGGCAGCCGCAGCCGCGGCAGCCGCGGCCACTCCCAGGCGCAGAGGCTCGGGGCACCCCAGATGGCCGCGGCGGGAATGCCCAACGTCAGCAGCCACCGTGAGTCGCAAGGCATCGCGCGCCGGCCACGGCGCGGAGCCCGCGGTGCCCGCGCCGAGGGGGCCCCCGGCGGGCCGGGGCCGCGCTGGAGCGCATCTGCCTCGAGCCCGCTGGCCTTGAGCCAGAGGCTACGGACGGGCTGGTGGGGGCACTTTCTTTTTTATTTTATACAGCCGCAGGCGGAAGCGCCAGCGGCGGGAGGTCGCGGGCGGGCCGCGGCCGCGACTAAATTACCTAACGCGCGCGGGGCCGCGGATCAGGCGGCTCACGACAGCGTCCAGGGCGGCGGAGCCGATGCAATCCAGGAGCCAGAGACAGCCCCTGAACGGGCATGCAGCGGTGCGTCCAACGGGCCTGAGGTAGGCACCGAGGAGACCAAGCGCAGCCAAAATGGCGCGAGAGGCGTTCCCAAAGTCCAGGTGCGAACGAGAGGAAAGTTCCCGAGGACGTAGATCCAAAGCCTGACGGGTAGCACAGACCGACTGGAGACGTAAGTCCAGCGGGATCCCGACGGCGGCAACGAGCCGCGACGCCAGAACGGCATCCAAAGTGTGGAGCATGTTGCCAAGAAACTTCCACACCGAGATGCTTCAGCCCAGACCCAGCGGGTGGAAGGGCGCCTAGTGCACGCTACACGGTCGAAACGCGGCGTGAGCACATCACAGTGTCTCAGTGCTGACCAGAACGAGTCGGAGAGCACACGAGGGCGAAACCGCGAATACCCAGGCACGTCCCTCAAAGCCACTGATCCAGGGTCACGGCGGAAGGCCGTCCAGCATTGGGAGTTCCCGAGGACACCGATCCAGGGAGCCTGACGGGTACCACAGACTGACTGGGGACAAGTCCAGCGGAAAAAGCTGACGGCGAACCAAGTCGCGACGCAAGGAAGCGCATCCAGGGTGTGGAGCATGATGACAGGAGTACCTTCCACAACAGAGATGCGAAAGCCCAGATCCGACGAGCGGAAGGGCGTCAAAGCGCACGATACACGGCCGACCCCGAGGAGTGTGCACATATTAGGTGTCTCAGCGCCACCCAAACCGAGTCGTCTAGCACGAGAAGGACGAAACCGCCATATACCCAAGACGCGTCCCTCAGAGCCACTTGGATCCAGGGTGGCGGCGGAAGGCCGCGCTGCTTGTTTAAAAGGTCCAGGGTGACGGCGGAAGGCCGTTCAATCGGTTAGAAAACCCAGGGAGAAAGCCAGTGGACATGCGAGCCGCGGCCCACTGACAGGCCAGGAACGCCTGGCGGTGAGACATCTACAGTAGGGCCTGAGGCCGCGAGTCCACTGCGGAGAGGCGGTGGACGGCATTGCCGAAGCGCGCACCTGGATCCAAAGGCAGGAGGTGCGCGCATCGGGTGGAGGGCGGCAGGGCGCCGCGATTAGGGAGCCCACGGCGCGGCCTGGGCAGCGCCAGCTGGAATTCAGGAAGTGAAACCGAAGCGAGGAAAGGGGGAGCCTTGCGGCGAGAGGGCGGCGGCCACCGGTGGAGAAAGGCAGCGGCGCCAGTGGCAAGTGGTCTGCGGGATGCGCGGTGTCACGCAGGGAGCAGATGGTATTACCGAACGGCACCCCAAGGTCCAAGGGTGAGAGAGAGTGCCGTTCAGGGGAGGGGCGGTGGTGCAGTCCCAGGTTGAAGGAGAGAGCGGCGGAGGGCCGCGGTAGCGCGTTGCAAAGCGCATGTGGTGGCGCGGGCACTGGGGCGCGGCGAGGGCAGGGAGGGAGTTCAGTCTCTCCAGCGGAGTCTCTTTTCATCTCGATCATCCCGATCGTCAGGGTAACCTCCGCCGCGTTTGCCACCCGCCTGCCAGTGATCTTCACGCCATCCGTCGCGCCACTCGCCCTGCCAGCTGCCCCAGGTGCCCCGGGAACTTGTCGCACGGTCGCGCCAGCCCGTGTGGCGATAGCCGCCTTTGCCCACTGGGCTTCTGGGGGAGATGTCGGGAGAGGCGCCATCATTTCACGCGTCCAGGGAATTCTAAGGGGTCGGCGGATTTTCCTCCGGACAGCGGATTCGTGTCGAGGTGCGAAGAGAAATGCTGATTTGGACTTGACTGGGGAAATGAAACGGGAGTGTACTTCCCTTCCCAGGAGCCCACGAAAGTGGCGACGGTTTCGCAGATCGCGGCCTTTCAGGGGACGGCGAGGTCTCATGGTGATCTGCGTAAGACGTACCTCCGCTGGACCTCCCAGAAGACCACTGTTTCGCAAATCGCAGCCCCCAAGGGGAGGGCGAGATCTGATGGTGATCTGCGTAAGACGCACCTCCGCTGGGGCTCCCAGGAGCCCACGAGCTCCCAGGAGCCCACGAACGTGGCGACCGTTTCGCAGATCGGAGCCCCTCCTAGGGGACGGCGAGGTCTCGCGGTGATCCGCGTACGGCGCACCTCCGCTGGGCCTCCCAGGACTCCCCCGAAAACACGCAGATCGTAGCCCCCTGGGGGACGGCGAGGTCCCATAGTGATCTGCATAAGGTGCACATCTGCTGGGCATCCCAGGAGCCCACGAACGTGGCGACCGTTTCTCAGATCGCAGCCCCTCCTAGGGGACGGCGAGGTCGCATGGTGATCTGCGCATGACACACCTCCGCTGGGGCTCCCAGGAGCCCACGAAAGTGGCGACAGTTTCGCAGATCGCGGCCTTTCAGGGAACGGCGAGGTCTCATGGTGATCTGCGTAAGGCGCACCTCTGCTGGGCCTCCCAGGAGCCCACGAAAGTGGCGACAGTTTCGCAGAGGTCAGCCACTCAGGGGACGGCGAGATCTCATGGTGATCTGCGTAAGACGCACCTCCACTGGGGCTCCCAGGAGCCCACGAAAGTGGCGACGGTTTCGCAGATCGCGGCCTTTCAGGGAACGGCGAGGTCTCATGATGATCTGCGTAAGACGTACCTCCGCTGGGCCTCCCAGGAGCCCACGAAAGCAGCGACAGTTTCGCAGATCGCAGCCTCCCAAGGGACGGCGAGGTCGCGTGGTGATCTGCGTAAGACGCACCTCCGATGGGCATCCCGGGAGCCCACGAAACTGGAAACAGTTTCGCAGAGGTCAGCCACTCAGGGGACGGCGAGATCTCATGGTGATCTGCGTAAGACGCACCTCCACTGGGGCTCCCAGGAGCCCACGAAAGTGGCGACGGTTTCGCAGATCGCGGCCCCCAGAGAACGGCGAGGCGAGGTCGCGTGGTGATCTGCGTAAGACGCACCTCCACTGGGGCTCCCAGGAGCCCACGAAAGAGGCGACGGTTTCGCAGATCGCGGCCTTTCAGGGGACGGCGAGGTCTCATGGTGATCTGCGTAAGACGCACCTCCGCTGGACCTCCCAGAAGACCACGGTTCCGCAGATCATAGCCCCTAAGGGGACGGCGAGATCTCATGGTGATCTGCGTAAGACGCACCTCCGCTGGGACTCCCAGGAGCCCACGAAAGTGGCGACGGTTTCGCAGATCGCGCCCCCCCAAGGGGACGGCGAGGTCTCATGGCGATCTGCGTAAGACGCGCCTGCGCTGGGCCTCCCAGGAGCCCACGAAAGTGGCTATAGTTTTGCAGATCGCAGCCCCCAAGGGGACGGCGAGGTCTCGCGGTGATCTGCGTAAGGCGCACCTCCGCTGGGCCTCCCAGGACTCCCCCGAAAACACTACAATTTCGCAGATCGCAGCCCCCTGGGGGACCGCGAGGTCCCATAGTGATCTCCATAAGGCGCATCTCCGCTGGGCCTCCCAGGAGCCCACGAACGTGGCGACCGTTTCGCAGATCGCAGCCCCTCCTAGGGGACGGCGAGGTCGCATGGTGATCTGCGCATGACACACCTCCGCTGGGGCTCCCAGGAGCCCACGAAAGTGGCGACGGTTTCGCAGATCGCGGCCTCCCAGGGGACGGCGAGGTCTCATGGTGATCTGCGTAAGGCGCACCTCTGCTGGGCCTCCCAGGAGCCCACGAAAGTGGCGACGGTTTCGCAGAGGTCAGCAACTCAGGGGACGGCGAGATCTCATGGTGATCTGCGTAAGACGTACCTCCGCTGGGCCTCCCAGGAGCCCACGAAAGCGGCGACAGATTCGCAGGTCGCAGCCTCCCAGGAGACAGCGAAGTCGCGTGGTGATCTGCGTAAGACGCACCTTCGATGGGCCTCCCGGGAGCTCACGAAAGTGGCGGCAGTTTCGCAGATCGCAGCCCCCCAGGGGACGGCGAGGCCCTATGATGATCTGCGTAAGGCGCACCTCCGCTGGGCATCCCAGGAGCCAGCGAAAGTGGCGGCCGTTTCGGAAATCGCGCCACACCAAGGGGCGGCGAGGTCTCGCGGTGATCTGCGTAAGACGCACCTCCGCTGGGCCTCCCAGGACTCCCCCGAAAAAGGCTACAGTTTCGCAGATCGCGGCCTTTCAGGGGACGGCGAGGTCTCATGGTGATCTGCGTAAGACGTACCCCCGCTGGGGCTCTCAGGAGCCCACGGCACCTCCGCTGCGCAAATAACGACACCCGAGCGAGCCGCGGGCACGAGGCAGGACGCAGGCGGGAGGATAAAGGGAGAGGACGGAGAAGTGAGGAGGTAGGAGGAGGAGGAGCAGAAGAGGAGGAGGATGGGGCAGACAGTGCTCTATTCAAAATTACCCAGGGACGTACCCAAGCCTGTGTACACATGAGGCGCCTATACATCGGACCGCTCAATACAAAAGCGAGCATTGAAGGATCCGCCGTGCTCTTGAATGCTTCTCCAAAGAACGTCGGGTCAACGCCACATGTTCACACATGTGGCGTCGCTCTTGAGAGTCATATCGTTGGCAGGAAGGTGGCCACGAGAGAGTGTCGAAAGACAACAAGGAGAGACGATTGGAGACATACTTCGTGGGAGCAGCGCCGCTGGACCCCCAACGTGGCAACCAAGCCCATCAGAGGACGGCGAGGTCTCATCATCCTCATCACCATCACCATCAGCATCATCATCATCATCATCAGCATCAGCAGCATCATCAGCATCATCATCGTCACTGTTCTAAGTCACCCAGAAGCCTGAGCTTGCACACTGGCGGGGCTGGCCGCGCAATGTTGGTAGGAAAGAGCGGGAGCGCACACGACAGCACCATGACAAACCAGGCGGCACCGCTGCTCTCGTCTCGTCGTCGGCAGCGTTATCAACGGC